GAATTTTAACGATCTTATTTTAGCCATTTGCCAATAAATATCAAATTGTACTGTAGACTTATGAATAATAACCAACGTTTTAAAAGTAAATTTAGTGAATATTATGATATAATATGTTTAAACAATGAAATATCTGGTTTTTGTAAATTGTAGGTACCTAATAAGATTTACAGAAATGGTTTATTGCCAATATATTATATTAAAAGAAACTTAAACATTTAGTACTACTGTACTGGACACTGGTGAATAAATTCCACGAAATTCCACAAAATATACATCACAGTAACCGAGGTTGACTTATTGAATATCATTGAAAATATTATGATGTTGGTACCTGCGTATATATATTAAGATATGCTATATTTTGATTTTTCGTTAACATCAGACCGCATTATTGGGTTTATACTTAAATTATTTATAATTAACAGGTACCTATGAATAATAATGATAGATACCTACTTTAAGATACTATATATCTATACCTAATTATAGTCTTGTGATTCAGATTTTTCTTATATTTTATTTGTAACAGTAATCAATTACATTTTCAAGCTTTTTTACCCGACAGATAAAATGTTTTTGACATTCATAGAAAAAAAAACTAAAAAAATTGGAAGCTGAAATGTCCGTAAACAGTTCAAAACAAATCAATATTTTAGAGTTATACCAAAAACCAAATAGTAATCTGGTAACCCTGCAGTGTGACTCTAAAATACACATATACGATATACCTATATGCCCATATTATCTATATTATACAAAGTGTAAAATTAAAATTCACTATTGTCTGTTAAAAATTCAAATCGTATTACGCGTATAGCATTTGACCCACTAATGATTAAAAACTACCTTATTAATTTGTTATGTGATGAATAAGTGAGTTTTTTCAAAAATAATTTTTATAGTTTTGATTTTCCTCTGAATGTTTTAACGTTATATTATAATAAATAATAATTTAATGTGGTGAGCATAGATAGATGACGTGGAGATCAGTCCTTAGCACCTTTTGAAGTAGGTACCTACCTCAGAATGTGGTGTAGTCTAAAACTTACCAGGTTAGGTTACAATTATACGGCTTTATATTTTATTACTAATCTACATGAGTCTTACATAATACTACCTATGTATACAAACAATGAAATAATAGGTATTTATTTATATTGATATTTTAATTTATGAGAAATCGTCGCCTCAGAATGAAAAGGTTCTAAATCAATTTTTTTGAAAAATGTTTTTTTTGCATATAATCATTTATAATTTTTTGTTGTATAATTCAATCTTGAAATCGGATCGATCCGTTGATTATTCAATGAGATACAGAGAATGAAAAGGTTCTAACTCATAAAAACGTGAATGATAAGCGCGAAACCGAGAAATATCAGTTACAACCTTTTCATTCTAAACAATAATTAAGAATGAAATAGTTCTAAACGGTCTTAAATGTAATATCTCAGAATGAAAAGGTACCGTTATAATACGGTTATACCACTGGTACAATATAAATTATTATTGTGCCATAATAAAATATTATTCCAGCATTCCAGCATAAATTTACCGTCTATTTTTGTTTTGTTGAGGTGATAAGGTAGGTAATACCTACATGCCACATGTATATAGTACCTACTTTAGTATTATAAGAAATGGTACATTTAAATTTGAATTACGTTTTTGACATTTTTCATTATTGTGAATTATGATTTATGCCGTTTAATTTATATTGTTGCGTTTTCAATATACCCCCCTTCCCTACACTTATTGCGCCAATGGACCATACAATTGTAACTTATTACTTATAGTAGGTATGTCCAGGCACATACACAACAAAAAAAATTCCGGGGGGTGGGGGGACCCCCCCGCCCACTACATATACGGGTATGTTATAATATAATAATACTTAACTTAAAAACTAAAAATATTGCATAGGTAATAAAAAAATGTATAATTTATAACATAGTTTACACTAGAAGTTGGTATCACTGCATAGAAAAAATGATTCAAATCAGAATGAAAAAGTTCTAACTAAATAAATAATTTTTATTTTCAGAATGAAAAAGTTCTACACGTAAAACCTTTTAATTCTAAAACTAATATTTTGGTTTTTTATGATTAACTCAGTCAATAATTGAGGAAAGACAAATTGCAGATAAAGTTGTGTTCTTTGGAACTTTCTTGATATTGCATACAATTTTCACGATTTAGTAATTATGGTGAAAAAAGTTATTCAATGTCCTACTTAAAAACGTTCCCCTGAACAATTACATAAATTGCGTTAGAACCTTTTCATTCTGAGACGACGAAATGTGTATTTTAATCGTTTAATTGTATTATTTATGCAATGAATTTATATTCCAAGTTGTGAACTAATAGCCACAGACGATCATGTTCAGTGGTACCTATTATGTTCTTGAAGAATAAATAAATAAAAAAATAATAATAATAAAACGTTTGTGAAAAAAAATACAAATATAATAATATAGTTTGGGGTGAAAATGATTGTCATTTAATCAAAAATGAATTGCATCTAGAGTCACCAACCTCGCTGCTGACGATACAAACCAATACTACGGTATATATTATTTTAATGTAAAAAAGTAAAACATAAGTACCTACCTACAATATGAAAATATTGAAACAGAAAATGTTTGCAACTTGTAGGAAGACCATCGTTTATGTAACTAGTATTTAACAGTTACAAGTTCTAGATCCATATAGAAATCCAAAATTAAAAATAAGCCTCCTCACTTGCCATCACGATCGTGTCGCTAGAGTTTAGTAATCACAGGGAGTCTTGTCAAATTAAAATTAAAAATAAACACCATGGAGTATAAAAGCGTCCGTCTTAATTAAAAATAAAATGTGAACGATATTGTCTAATATATTATATTGTGATATGGGATATGAAGTTAAAACGTTCATTGGATCGTATAAAATAAAATTCGCATTAATAAATTCATTACTCAGTTTCTCAAGCATATTCGTACAGTCATAACATCATATTATTATGTCTAAAACAATCGTTTACAGTGATAATAAACAATACGATAATATTGTACATTTTTACGGCTGCGTATAATATGTCACTGAGCAATGATGACGATATTTTTTCCAATAATCCAACCATCGAGCATTTGAATTCGATATTTTAACATGAAATAGCTTACCTACATAATAATTAATAACAATAATCGATGTATAATGTGACAACTTGAACAGTTATATTATTGATCATAATAGCATTGAATATGTATTTTACTAAATATTTAGTGTGTGAAAGAAGTATTTTTGATACTTAAAAAAAAATGTATTAATTCGATAAACATAAAATAAAAACTACAGCGTGGTTAAAACTGACAGGAGCAATCATAAAAATAATAACGTTTTTTCAATAGAACTAAACATTTTAATCCGATTGTATTGAACCTTTAAACCATAAGCTATAAACTACGGTATATTTTAATTGGTTGTAATTGTATGCGTATCACTATTAGTAAACCACTGGAATACCACCAGTCGTCGAGTTATCGACTCCGCATTCGTTCGTCCCTCGTCGAATTTTGAAAAGACCATGGTCCCCCCAAGCTTCGTTCCAAGAGTTGACCATCAACCAATACGGGACTCCGTAATCTTCACCCCAACCGATCAACTTCACGGCATGTCCTCCCAAGTATGTAGCATTTTCCGATTTTTCATAAACACCTGAAACCCATACAATCAAGGTTAAACTGTTTGAAAATGACCATTCCCAACGCACATGTTCCCATGCTCTCTCAAGGAGTTCAACACGGCTGAACTTAGTCTATATTCGTGTCAATATACCTACTCCGCGTACTTATTTTATAAGTAGGAGGAAGATCGAATAGGTACGTCACACCATTCTGAGCCCGACGAGTATTGTGTTTTGCCTGTGACAAGTTTGTACATGTTTTCCAACGGACAGACAAAGCTAGTGTAATGCGACAAGAAATCTAAAAACGTCTGTGTCGTCCTAAAATTCGATAGGAAACTCACTTTAAGTGTATGAATGTAATAAGTATGACGGTTCATATAGTTTTGTACGCTCTAAAACAAATTTAATGAGAATATTAGAGTGGAAATTTGATATAAAAGTGGACGATCTCAATTATTACTAATAACCTCACACCGAATTCAAGCGTGTTTTATTTTAATTTATCGGCACACGATTAGTGGTATCGTTAATATGGACAAATATATACGTTTGTTTTAGTAAAAAAAGTAGTCGGTACCGAATCTCCTTAAAAAAAATTGAAAACAATAATTTTAGAACGATAAGTCATCCATATCAATGCATATTTACCTGACTTGTAACTGGGAAAGTCGTCGTACACGTCGAACGACGCTTCGATCGGTCCATAAGTCATAACGTCTTTTTGGATACTTGCATATGTGAGGTAGTAATAGTCTCTCGCTGCAATCATAATTTAATCGGATTTAAAACTTAGGTATAGGTACGTAAGTGTACGCTTAAAAATATCAAAGCAAACCATACTGAATCTGTGGTCTTCTTCATAATCGATTTCTTGATCTCCGTAACACATCCTTGTACATCTGTGGTTTCTTTCCATTGGCTGACCTCTGCACGTGTTATTTTCATGTTCGTCACTAATGCAAGGCGGTACTCGGTACGGCGCACAACCCTAACAGTCCACACGAATAATACAATTAATGATTTCCCACGCTGAAAATTCCATTTGTACACTTTTCTTTCTGTCCCCGCCCATTTCTACCTACCTCTTCCGATTGATAATCACCTCCTGTCACGATACCGTGTCGCTTGAAATAACTCCAAGCTTTGATCGGGTAACCTCCGTGACACCCGAAACCGCACAGATGGCAGCAAAAAGTCAACTCTTCTGCGGATAACAGTTCATTGAATTCCTGGTTCGTGGCTATACACAGCCGGTCGGCAAACGCTGAACTCGTAGCGAACGCCTATTGCAATTTTACAATAATATAAAAATTGTTATAATATTATGTATTGCCACCCAACTAATACAGTTTTGACTCAAACTCATCATCACTCAGACGTACCCAACACGATCCACAATTTCCTTGGTCTCGGACTTGTCCAATCGTGATACACCGTCTCCACTCTTTTCTCGCGTCGAACTTCCTTGGAATTCTGCCAAACAGGTTCGAGTAAGCTTCGTCACCTGATTTGTACATTTTAAGGTTGAGTTTGTTCGGGACTTGTACTCCTTTCGATCCCAAAAGTTTGACGATGTATTCCTTCGGTGTGTTTGGATCGAAGTTAATACCGGCCTAATTGAATTATTTTATCTTACGATTAGTATAAATTTCATATTTACGTATAACAATAAAGATGATATTTCATATTTTACAAATTCTAGTTTATTGACACTTGAAAAATAATAATTTACAATTTATTTTATATTATGTCATGCTTGATAGGGAATAGGGAATAAGGTATTGGGAATCATTGGTTAATAAATTGTGAAATGTTTTTATGTAATATTATTCGCTTACTAATAAAATAATTTAGTATTATTATAAATTATTATTTACTAAAATATATTTAATATTTCGGGTTTTTTTTTATATAATTAATTTTAAATATGTGGTTTGGGAAAAAATTAATTTAACGCGCCAATAAAATGAAAAATGAAAAATGTAACTCGTTAAGTTAGAAGTTACTTCTAAAAAAAAAGTAACTCGTTAATTAACTTAGTTAAAAGTAACTTAACTTTTAAACTTAACTTTAACTTCTTAACTCTTCGATGCCCAGCCTCGGAAAAAATATTAACTTAATTTGGATGAAAAAAAGTTAATTCAATATTCTTCTGAGAGGATGGATGGAAGTATAAGTTTTACAATTATGAGTGTGTTTTTTCGAGTTTTTTATCACTTTTTGGAGCCGACGAAAATATTGTTAACAACAATTTTATTATATACGATACAATATAGTAATTAAATCTCTATAATAGAAATTTGGTATTTATGACCCAAAAAGGTAGCGAAAATTACTAAAATAATGCTTTGATTACCTAATAAAAAAACAATTTTTTAAAAATGTATTTATTATTTAATGAAAATTGAGATGAAAAAACTACTTATCGGATTTTTACGATATACCTAATATTCTAAAACATTGCAAATCACGATTTAAGATAGTATGGTTGACCAATGAGGTATGATAAGACAGCATAGGATTTCAATCTGGATACTTTCGCTTCTGGTGACTATTTTTTTTTACATGTCGTTTACTCATCTTATTAATGTCTGTACACGGTATTTAATATTTAACTAGGTAACTAACTTTTTCACAGATTTTACTTTACTACCGGTAGCGCTGTAGGTAAAATGTCACCAGATCGGGTGACTTTTGGATTCAAATCGTATGCCGTGTGATAACATTTTTCTAATGGGTCGTTGGGCAACCATACTATTTTAAATCGTGCTGCAAATACGTAAGTATATGGGTAAGTTGTTGGGAATCCAAAGCCGGCCGCGTGGCCAAAATTAGAATGGCTCCGCGTCACTAGACGCGTCCTTAGAATCACACTTTAACACTCTAGTATTTTACAGTACATTAGGTGTCTAGATAGTCACTGTAATGGATGACATTTGAACTCAATGATATGATAATTATAAAATATTAAAATCATTGTATACCAAATATAATAAATAATTCTGAGCGATGATCATAATATTTTAACTACAAAATAACAAGTACATTTTCAAGATTTTGATAAATTTTGTCAAAATCTAAATATTAACTAGGTACTTATTGAAAAAAAACGTAATTATAGAACTTTAATATTTCTCAACTCCTAATATTATAACAACTTATGAGAAAGTTGTATTACATTTTCAAGCATTTGGATTTTGGATTTAACGAAAAACATTTTATTGATATTTATATCAATAAAACATAAGAAAAATTAAATTTCCAAAGTCTATAAATAACAAAGTGAAAATATTTTGAAATTTTTCTAATTTTTTTTATAGAAATCTAACTCAAAATAATTGGCCAATTGTCATGATTTTGATGAATGTTGTCAAAATTCTTAATTCAAACGCTTATAAAAAATTATCATTTGATTTACTCTCTACTTTTTTTTTTCACTAATAACAACTTATGAGGAACCTTGTATTAAATTTTCAAGTGTTTTAACCTATTGAAAATTTTTTTATCAACAATAATTAAAAAATACTAATAAAAATCGAAATTATCTTAATATGCCTATTAATATCGCAAAAATATGCAAAATATTTTGAACATTTGTTTTTGTAACTACCCATATTAAATCCTAATAATTAACATTCCATGAAAAATTGTACGTATTTTAAATTATTTTTTTTAGTGTTATATATAAAAATAAAAACGATTTTTTCAAAAGCTAGTTTCGAGTAAAAATCTCAGTTTTCCCTTAATTTTTGTTTGTTTTTTTCTGACGCTTTAGAAAAGTACTGTGGAATTTTACGCAGGATTATGGTTCTAGAGTTCTGATCCCCCTGAAATTTCTTCCTTCTACACATAAATCTTGTTTACCACCAATTTGATACACAGAGTACATCAATTGTTGGTCATTTTTCATAGATATAAATATAATTAAATAAATATAATTGTATAAATAAATATAATTGTGAAATATGACATAGAAGTCAATAATCATATTTTCAGATTTTTTTGGCTGATTTAGAACATTGCTAAACGTCTGCCATAATCGTCGTATGGTGTATCAACCAAAATAGATTACTATAATAATGGTATACCACGTTTATTACGGACCGAAGAAACTACATTTGAGACTAACTCTATAATTTGTTATAACTTATAACCAATTATACATAAACTGTTAAGAAAAAAATAATGTAAATTATTCACTCGGGTAAAACCCTAAACCATTTTTTTTCACTTTAATGGACGTAATACTGCACAATTTTAAATAAAGATTTCCAACTTCGAAAGGTGTAAACACGACATGTAACATATTATTATGTTTGTATCTATTCAATTATCAAGGAATATTTATTGATTTGTTTTTATTTAAAATCATATTAAATTAGTTTTTTAATTTTAACCACAGTTATAGTTTATATACCAATAGGATTCATATTAATTGTATTCAGATGACTTTAATTTATCGTATTATTTTTAATCAAACTGATAAACACTAAGTTATTATAATGGACACTTCAACTGGTAAATGAACATGTTAACTATGAGAGTATATTTAACTAGTTAGGTTAAATTATAAAAGAAAAATTAACTTTTTTAACACCAAATTAATTTAATTACTACTCTTTGCAAATTGAAAAAGACGTTTAGTATACCTCTACGTAGGTATCTCTTATGATTACCTGTTCTTGCTCAGATCAAATTCAATCACATACCTACCTAAGCAAGTCTTTCTTAACCACTGTTTTATTTTTGCTTGATTACTTCCAAAGTTATCTACAATAGGAAAAGATTATTTAGACGTTGAACCTAATAAATGCAATTCTATGGAAGAACGTAATTTAATTTTAAATGTTTACTTATTTTTGTCAAGAGCGTTATGTCGTTATTGTATAATAGGTATAACCTATTGTTATAGTTCTATGATATTATGTAAAGGACTCAGTTTCTAATTCAAAGTGCATTTTTTTTTTAGTTTTATAGGAAAATATATTCCAAGTATTTACTTACATAATTCGTTTGGTGTAACAGATACTACGATGGCGACACTTGTCTTTTTGGTTTTTAAATTTTTAGAAAATTGTTTATCATTATCAGATAATTTTATTATAATTTATAGTACATATAAATATATTATTATGATGATTCATAGAATGTACGAGCTTATAGTGTTAATTAAGAAATTAAAATGTGCTCTGCTGTACAGTAAGTTACAAGTGGGTCACTGTATAATGGATGGTATTAAATTTGAATTCAATTATATAATATCATTGTATAATAAAAACGATTCTCAGCGAAAACGGTTAGTCAGCCTATGATATTACTAAGTATATTTCATGATACTAAGGTGAATAAAGTAATTTATATATAACCTATTTACATAGAATCTTGTTTTAAATTTTCGATCATTAGCTATAAAAGTTGAACATTTTATACATTTTTAACAACAAAATTATTATTAAATTTTAAATGTGATAAATTTTATCAAAATTTGAATTTATAATGCTTATAATAAAAAATTGTGCCTATGTTTTTTTAATATTTTTCAAGTGCTATTGTAACAATATATCAGGAGTTTTGTAACTCCTGATATCAATTTTCACACTTTTCTACAAATTTAAAAGTACCAACTAGATTCACTTTCCTATCAGAAAATATACTGTTGAAGAAAATCCAAGCACGTTTACTGTCCTAAAAGGTCAAAATAAAATAAAAAATAATAAATAAATAATTACATAAAAAAATAAAAAATAAAATAAAAACACACATCATTGTGAAATTCATCGTTCATCGTTATACTCAGAATCTAAAATATCATATGGAAAAATTTTGTTGTCATAATATTTTCTTTAAGAGTTTCTACGTAATTTTCATAAATGCCAAATGTCAATCATTCTATTTCTGAATGTGATAATGTCTTTACTCTTTAATCAGTCTATAGTGATTATCGGATGTGGTGACTTACCGAGACTTACTCAAACGAATAATCACTAGTTGGAACAACTAGTTGGTCAATAAGATATTTACTTCACAATCGCGTTTATTTCGAGTATACTGAAGTCTCTCTATTTTATTTGACTAACTACGGTGTTTGTATTAATCTTAGTTTATTCAAGATAAAGAATTATTAAATATCACCGAAAGTGAAACAATCGTTTTCCTCTAGCAGGTCAAAGCATTTTGGGTCATTTTTTTAGGTAATTATTGCGTGGAAAGGGCCCTTTTGGTTATTTTTAAAGCTTTTTAGATTCTGAGTGGAACTATGAATGTATTGATTTTACAATGATGTGTGTTTTTTTAATTATTTTTTTGTGTATGTCATAACCTTTTAGGACAGTAACAGTGTTTGGAATTACTTTGGGGGGGTCAAAAGTAAACATTTTTCAGTAATTTTCAAAAGCGACGTGAAAAACAAAAGAAAAATTAAGGAAAAACATAAATTTTTACTCAAAATCTGTTTTCGAGAAAATCGATTTTGGTTTATAGTGTAAATCTAAAAAAAATTACCGTAAATACATGAAATTTTTACTGACTTTTTATATTAGCTTTTTCTATACACCATGAATTTTTCAAAATAATTTGAATTATTTTGAGCTGTTTAGGGACATTTTCAGTTTAAAATTTTTTTAGTTTTTAATTCTATAAATATCAATAAAATTTTATTGGTTTATTAAAAAAGCTTAAAAATGTAATAGAGGGCTTCTAGTATATTGTTTCAAAGGCAGATCAAACATATTAAAAATCCTTAGTCACAGTTTTTTTTTATAAGCATTTAAAATCCAAAAATTGACAAAATATGGAAAAATCATAAAAATTAGCAAATTATTTTGAGTTAAGAATTTGTAAATTTTTTTCTTTTTAAGTCTAAGATTTTAAAATGTAATATAAGATTCCTTATAAGATTATCAACCTTTATCAAAAAAAAAAATGTCTATAAGAACGTCAAATTAAATTTTTATGAGCTGTTGAAATTCAAATTTTTACAACATTGGATATTCACTCGATTTCTCATTTAGCGATTTCCTTATTTTGTTGCAATTCAAAAACGAATAACTGTAGATACATAAAAATTTCACCGAATGTTTATATTAGCATTTCCTATACACCATACAATTTTGAAAACATTTTGACTCTAATTATTTTGAGTTAAAAATTCGTAAAAATTTTTCTTTTTAAATCTAAGGTTTTAAAATGTAATACAAGATTCCTCATAAGTTTGTCTATCTTTATCAAAAAAAAAAATTCTATAAGAATGTCAAATTAAATTTTTATGAGCGTTTGAAATTCAAATTTTTACAACATTGGATATTCACTCGATTTCTCATGTAGCGATTTCCTTATTTTGTTGTAATTCAAAAACGAATAACTGTAGATACATGAAAATTTCACTGAATGTTTAAATTAGAATTTCCTATACACCATAAAATTTTGAAAATATTTTGACTCTTTTTGAGCTGTTAACGGACATTGTCAGTTTTCAATTTTTTTAGTTTTTTTTTCTATGAATATCAATAAAGTTTTATCTGTTGGGCCAAAAAGTGTAAAAATTTAATACAAGGCTAATGATATATTGTTACAATATCAGTTGAAAAATATTATAAAAACATATGCACAATTATTTTTTATAAGCATTTAACAAAGTGTCTTCACTGGAAGGCTTCTTAAATCCGTCCTTTCCTCAAGCCACTTATTCAATTATCTATTTTACTTATTGTTCATTTTATTGTAACAGATTGTAAATAAAAATTATAAAAAAAAAAAAAAATAAGCATTTAAAGATCGAATTTTGACAAAATTTATCAAATTTATAATTGAGTAATTATTTTGTAGTTTAAATTTATAAAATGTTCAACTTTTATATCTAAGGATTGAAAATTTAAAAGAAGATTCTATTCGTAAATAGGTTATATATAAATTACTTTATTCACCTTAGTATCATGAAATATACTTAGTAATATCATAAGCTGAGATTTCACGTAAGTAGTTGATTCTGTTACCAAAAAAACTAAAAACTACATAACCAGTAACCACAGATTATAATATAGTGATTAAAGTTCAAATTTGGACGAAATCACATAAAAAAAAACTTAGAATAACTATTTTAGTTATTTTGTTGTGATTGTATAATATTATTCGTGGGTACTCGAAACTTCTAAAGTACACTATTATATATTAATGATAATATCATGGTTTGTTGTTCATGTATAAAGAGTTTTAAGTACCTAATGTATATTGTAATATGATTAATTTGGAATTTATATTAGGTCATTTTTTTTTAATACCATAGATAATTATATACCTAGACCGACATACCGTCTCCGCTTAGAATATTTTTTCTTATACAATGATATTATATCATTGAATTCAATTTTAATACCATCCATCATACAGTGATCCAATTGTAACCTACTATACAGAAGAGCACCTTTTTTGATATATTTTTTAGGGTATTTAAATGTGAGTCCCAGTAAAAATAAATAATTCTATTTTATCTCCAATCTCAGGGGTTCCCAAAATCAGGTCATGACCCAAATTAAAGTTGCGAGTGCATAATTGATAATTCACATATATTATTTCAGCATGGTGTCTGTGAATACTCAACAAAATAATTTTCTAAAATAATTGAATAGGTAACAACAAAGATCGAGGAAGAAAATCGTTAAAAATAATATCATAAAATATAACCGTTATTGTACTTGTTGGTATTTGTAATCGTTCTATTTTATATTATTTTATACTTTAATGTAGTATTAATAAAATATGAAAATTATGTTTGAAATTATAGACCACACAGCATAAAAATATTTCTTAACTATTTTAAAAAAAACTTTCAGAAAAATAATATCGTTGTCAAAATATTTAAAAAGTTGCGTAATGAATTAGGAAAGAGTTTAGTTATATTCTTTGGCCAAGAAGTTCATAATTTGGAAAATATTTTATAAGAACATTAATAAAACATTTTAATCATATATTTTCAAAAAAAAATGTTTACGGAAACTTTATAGAATATTGAGTCAACATTTTTATGCAATCACGTAGTACAATATTTTGTTATAATGAAAAGAAAATATTTATTAAATAGTATTTGTCAAGTATTTAATCACTTTAAAATATTCACAAAATATTATCATTTCCCAAATGCTGTGTGGGAGTGATTTTTGTCACAAGGGTCGACAAACGTTGAATTTAAAATGTCTTGGCCACACTCACAAAAGGTCGAGAGCCACTGGAGCCTGACCGGCAAAGTCAATTATTTTGGCATTAAAATGCGTCTTTATTGTCTTAATAATATTTTATACCATCATCTCACCTTCCACGTCTTTGCTCTTTCGTTGATACTTTCGATGAAATCTTCTTCCAGAAAATACGCTTGTTCCGTCACACAGACGCCGAGGAGTAAAATCACAGACCACGAAATCCACATCCTAGCACCCATGGTTTCGTGCAGTTGTGTTTTCTCGAAAACGGCGGAAAATGCTGTTCGAAATTATTTTTCGGTGCCTACAACGGTATTGCCTGTGCCTATATGATTATAGGTAGGTAAGTGTCACCCACCGCCCGACGTATACTATACACGTCGTCTGTTGTAGGTACTCGTAGAACGAACGTTGGGCGATTAATGTCTTACATCGTGTAAAATATGAATTAGCAGGCGTACTGCAGCCAGTGTACGGGTACATCATATTAATATTTTAATCCCGTTATCCGGGTACACCGAATAAAGATAATATGCGATACACCTGTTATATTGCAGTCGTAAAAGGTTTCAAGGCGAAAACTCTTCAACACCGACGTCGAGCGAGTGTTGCACCGCTATTAGTTGTAGGCAATAGGTATAGCTGTTGTTGTTGTATGTATATAGGTACACGCGATCGAATTGTTCGAGTATTACGGAACCGAAAACGTATGCATTCTTAATACTTAATTTTATTATATGTTTATCGTGTTGTATTATTGAAAAGGCCACTCGAAATTTAGTTCCGATGACCGCATTTTTGGATTTCATCACAACGATAGACAATAATAATGTCGAATATTGTGTACAAATAATGTAAACGGTAAATAACAATTCTAAAGTTCGGATTCGATTTTTAAAGTTTTAACAGGTTAACCGCTGACTTATTTTCCGGTACATTACCAGCTGGGGGTGTACGGGTGTACGATTTCAGTTTACTCTGAGGTTTTGCCAATAAGTTTCTGTGTACACTGCGGAGTCTTTCCCAAAAAGGGTCGTGTGCACGGTACACCTAATAGGGTACAAGTAAATACGATTTAACACTGGAAAATATTTCGCAGCCCACCAGGCAAACAAAATTTCAATCAGCCATTTGATATTTTATAAACTCGATTTAATAATTCGTTATAAGGTTTGTTTTTGTAATAAGTTCGTATAGGTATAGCGAGAAAGGCGTGCTCACTTTTCTTGTGTTAGCTTGAATGGCAAATCGCAAATGAACCATGTACCAAATATGGTACACATATCAGTTAACATATGTATCAAAACCACAAAATTGAAAACTTGACACAAAAATAGATTTTTCGTGTCGGTGAAGAAGTATAAATTTCAACCAATACAGAAGATATTTGTACCTAAATCGTTTTTTTTAGATTCTGAGCTGGTGGTTTTAAAATGGTGCTTATTATTTTTATTTTTTTTATATCCTGTATACAAAATGTCTACCAGAAGGAGTGCTTTGATCTCTACATATAGTACCTTATTCTTTAGAAAATTGGATCAAGGTAGTACTTAAAAGAGGTAATTTTTCGATTTTATCAATAGTTATTTAATGCCACGGGATAAACCACCGAAAAATTATGAAAAACCGCTAATAAGATTTTAATTTCTAACACTTTGTTTATCACTATAGAAACGAATAAAAATAACAATGATCTTATACCATTGAATTCAAGTTTAATACAATCCTTTATACATTGACGCACTTTTAACCTACTGTACCGCAGAGTGACATCCACTTACCCACTTTTTTTTCTAAGTATTATTATAGTTAGTATGAAATAAAATTATAATCATACATTTTAATGACATAAACATCCTAATTTAAAATAGCATTACAATATCTATACTTGCATTTATTTATTTATTAATTTCAGAAAATCAGTATCTAGTTAATATTATCAGCTCCTCTTGTCCGCAGTATTTCGTTTGTTTTTATTGTTTTTATCGCGATTTGGAAAAATGACATGAAAAATTAAAAATCTACAGTTTTAGATGTACCGATTGAGCTTAGATGTTACCAATCGACAGCTGCTGATAAAAATACAATTAGAACGATTCCAGTTTTTCTGAAAATTAAATAAAATTTTTTTCGATGATAAACATAGCATAATTTTCAGAAGTTGAAAGAATCACACATCCGCCAGAGATTGTCCTATTAGTAATGATAACTTGGAAAAGGAAGTGGATCTCGCTCTGCTGTACAGTAGGTTACAAGTTTGTCACTGTAATAGATTGCGTTAAGTTTGAATTCAATGATTTAAAATCATAGTATGAGAAAAACGAATAACGATTCTGAGCGAAGACGGCCAGTTAGCCTATTATATTACGAAGTATATTTGATGATACTAAGGTGAATAAAGTAATTTATATATAACCTATTTATGTAGAATCTTGTTTTACATTTTCAATCCTTAGCTATAAAAGTTGAACATTTTATATATTTTTAACTACAAAATAATTTTTAAATTATATATTTAATACATTTTGTTAAAAATCAAAATTTAAATGCTTGTAAAAAAAATGTTGCTTATCTATTTTTTATATTTTTCAAGTACAATTATAACAGTATACCCATCAGGAGTAGTGTATTCATTTTTAAAGGTTTTTGACCCAACAATTAACATTTTATTAACATAATTTATGGAAAAAAAACAAAAAAAAAATTGCTATAAAACAGCTTGTTAGCAGTCAAAATATTTTGAAAATATTATCAAGTATAGGAATTGATAAAATAAACATATGATATAAATTGCAAGTGTTATTCGTTTTTGAATTATAACAAAATAAGAAAATCGTTATTTGAGAAATCGAGTCAATGTTGTAAACATTTGAACTTCTAACACTCATAAAAGTTCAATTTATCTCTCTTGTACATTTTTTTTTTTTTTTGATAAAGGTAGACAAACTTATAAGGAATCTTGTATTAGATTTTCTAAATAAAGAAAATATTCATATGAATTTCTAACTCAAAACAATATAAATGTTTGCATTATTTTTACGATTTTTGTCAAAATTTGGAGCTTACGTGCTTACAAAAAAAAAAAAATTGTGGCTAGCTATTTTTGTTACTGTCATTGGAAATGGCATTGGAACAATATATTAGGAGCCTTGTGTTACATTTAGGATTTTAAAATTGCATGAAATTGATGAAAAATAAAAATGAAATGTTTATTATATTTAAAAGCTTATAGTCGTCAAGTGAACAGTTTTAAAAGTTGGTTTATTGTATGAAACAAAGAAAATATGATATGTTACATAATTGCATATAATTTATAAGTTGTTTAACAAATCTATAGTACTTATAACATATTATATGATTATTATTAAATAATGAGCCCAGAGCACCTTCACTCAGCCACATACACACACATATTATACGACTTTTGTACACTTTATAATTAATGAAAATACACTATTATTTCATTTATTGTTGGAATAAATTGACTTCAACTTTATTTCAAACCATTATCTTATGGATCGCTGAGGGTCCGCCTACAACAATATTTTAAAACTATCATGTAAAAAAATGTTTTTATTCTCAAATTTATGCCAGTAATATTTTTCAGCACTACATAATATAGAATATACAATTATGAAATAATAAATCAAGAAAAATAATATGTTTTTCTGTAATTATAAGTGTGTAATCAATTTATCCTTTATAATCATCTACAACCGAACACGTTTAAAAAAAGAAAAAATATTTTTCATAATTTCATTGAAAAATTTCAAGAACAGTGACATTTTCCATTTTGAAATATTTCAAATTTAGAACCCTAGTTACATTTTCAAGCTTTTGACCCAACAAATAATATTATATTGACTTGTATGTATGTATATGAAAAAAAAACAAATTTGAAACAAAAAATGTCCGTAAACAACTCGTAACAATTCAAAATACTAGTATAAATATTCAGTGTAAATTTCATGTATCTGTGTTAATTTTATATGTTCAACTAACCAAAATTGATTTTTTTCCTTAATTTTCATTTTGTTTTTCCCTGTGCTTTTAAAAACTGCAATTTAAAATGTTATGCTCCCAAAGACCCCAACTAGATTCACTTTTCCATCGAACAAGATACTGTTGTAGAAAATCGAAATATTTTTTCGATTACTTATCGTGTACACCAGTCCTTAGCAAACTTTTAAACTCTGAGTGAAAATCTGGTGAATATCCAATGTTGTAAAAATATGAACTTCAAACGCTCTTAAAAATATAATTTAATTTGCTTGTAGATATTTTTTTTTTTTTTATTATTGATAAAATTAGACAAACTTACGAGGAATCTTGTTTTATATTTTCAAATCTAGATTTAAATAGAACATTTTTTATGAATTTTTAACTCAATAAAAATGTTCACACTTTCGTGAATTTTACGTAGTTTATCAATATTTGACCTTTAAATGCTTATAAAAAAAATTGAGATTATGGGGTTTTAATATTTTTCATCTGTCTTTGAAACAATATTTCTGGAACCATGTACTCAATTTTCACGCTTTTTGGCCAAACAAATGCAATTGTATTGATATTTATAGAATAAAAAAACTATAGTACTATATGTTGAAATCAAAGCACTCCTTCTGGTAAAAATTTTGTATACAGGATGAAAAAAAAAAAATAAACACCATTGTAAAACCACTAGCTTCCTCACTCCGCTCAGAATCTAAAATTTAGAAAATCCAGACTGATAAACCGTCTGATTGAATCGTTTTTCTTATACAATGATATTATATCATTGAATTCAAATTTAATACAATCCATTATACATTGACCCACTCGTAATCTACTGACTATTGTACAGCAGAGCGACATCTACTTACCCGCTTATTTTAGACGTATAACTGGTATATTGGTAGAATAACTAGGTTTAATGTTGGTACCGTACCTATTGTTAAAAAATATTGGTTTAGCTGTTTATGTTGGGCTTTTGGTTAAAAAAACATGTAATTTAAAATTTGTTATTAAGTAGGTAACAGGTGTAAAAATGTGTACGGATGTATGGTAAATCCCACAAGAAAGTGAATATTTTTTTTTTTTGTTAACAGTTTTTTCGTATTTTCTAGTATACATAATTTAAGTATCTTTTCCCATCATAATTTTTATAATTTTTATTTCCGACTTTTCAAAGCAATACGATCATATAAAATAATATGCTTTGTATCTTGTATGTTTTTAGATTCTGAGTGGAACAATGAATGTATTGCTTTTACCATAGGCATGTCTAGGATTCGTTCGCAGGTATGGCCAAGAAAAATTTCACAACAAAACATTAAAAAACATTTTATTCTAAATATTTATTTTTTTGAGAAAACATTTTAGTAGGTACTATAGTTATTACATTTTTTTTTAAAACTTTATAAAAATTAAATTTACTTATAATTATAACTCGAGACGACGTTTTGATGGTGTCGTGACTTTAAATTCTTCAATTACGTCGTCATAGTTTATATTATTTGTCATTTGCTGTTCAATAAATAAAAACATTAATGAATCTAGTCTTTGTTGAGTCATAGTACTGCGAAGTTTCGATTTGACCATTGTTAATTTCGAAAATGCCCTCTCACAAGAGCAACTAGTAACAGGTATTGTGATAAAAAGTACAATAACTTTGTGAAATTCTAAAAAAATATTTTTTGGGTTATTTTGATTAAGGGGCCTGGTCGCGACCTGTTTTTTTGCTCAAAAACATGCCTTACAGGAAAAACTCTCACGCCTTGTAGATTGGTCTGATTCCCGTAATTTTTTTTTTGTTAAATAGAGAAAGACGTATTGCAGGGCGCATTGGACTTGGATTTTCAAAATTATTTTTCGAAATCTTATATTACAAGTTTGAATTTAATCCATTTTTACAACTTTTTAGTTTTTGTATTATTATTTATTTTTAGCAACGTAATCAAAAATCAAAGTCCAATGCGCCCTGTAAAAAATATTTTTCTATCTAACAAAAAAAAATTACGGAAATCGGACCAATCTACGAGGTGTGAGAGTTTTTCATGTAAACTGTGTTTTGACCAATATAATACACTCTATCAACCCCCCCCCCCTAAATAGGTATTGGGTAGTAGATTAGTGGAAAAGTCTTATAATTGAGGTGGCAACTAAAATATAAAATTTAATTTTCAAATTTTATAGAATTGCGGAAAATTTGAAAAATCGCGACCAGGCCCCTTAAGAAATTCAATCCAGTGAAATGTAGTTTTTGTAGTGGAACCTAATGGAACACCAGGTATATTTCGTAGAAGTTGAATTTCCCCATTTAAATCGTTACAGTCAACTTCAAAAGCATTTTCTAAGCACAGAAGATTTTCTTTAGTTGGTTCAAGCTTTAAAACATTTCCTACGGCAAGGATAAGATTTAAAGTTTCTTGATTAAAGCGATCATTTAAGCCGTTAAGTAAATCATGTAGAACAACATTAAAACATTAAACTCTCAATTCTTCTTCTTTCGTGTCGGCAAAGTATTGATTGTTTGCAGAATAATCAATCTTTGTAGATATTTTACGTTTTCTTACTTCGGGTATCGCCACATTGTTTTCTCCACAATGCTTCACAGTGTCACGATAAATATCATTAAAAAATGTAGTATCTGATCTTAACTGGTATAATTTTTGTTTTAAAGATTGAATCAAATTTGTAGATGTTAATAGATTTAATTCTTCAGCTTGTAAACACGAGTTAACTTTGACAATTAATAATAGTATAGGATGAAGCATATTTAAAGCAAATATAAAATCAAAAGTTTTTAATTGCAAAATTAAACCTCTAGATTTTGCTTTAACTTCGGATTGTTTGGTTGTATCACAAATTGTTACCTAACCGCACCTTAATTTTAATTAACCATTTTGGTAACTATAGTATGCAAGTATACTCTTCGATCACACTTGAATACATGGTATGTCCTAACCAGTAACCATGTATATAATATTATCTATGGTAATTTGTCATTGTATTATCGTGAAGATAATAATGTATTTAATGTATACAACTACACTAACAATAATTGTTATTATTTATTTTTTTTTTTTTTTTTTTATTTTTACTAATTATTAGTACCACGCATCGATAATATTATCATAGAACAATATAATAATAATATACTTCTATTATCAATGGTAAATATTGGTAACAAGGGAAGAATCGCAGGTCTGGCCATGGCCAGATTGGCCATATCCGTGCTATGGCTTTTACAATGATGTGTGTTTTTTTTTTTTTTTATTTTTTTTTTTTATTCATATTATGTTTCTATTCAATCTGTTACAAAAAAAAAAAAAGAACAACAACAATAAGAACAATTAATGGTTTATAGGTTAAAAATAAATAAAAATAAAAAGGCAGATTAGTCAGACTGTAGAGGACTCCCAGCGGAGGTATTTATTTTTTAATTTTTTAATTTTTGTCTGTCACCATGGTTTGGGGCAGTAAAGTTGCTTCGATAATCTTCAACAGTATCAGTTTAGATAGGAAAGTGAATCTAGTTGGTGCATTCGGGAGATAAAATTTTAAAATACCCAATAGCTTTCACAAGCGCCAGAAAAAAACATAAAAATTAAGGACAAACGGGAATTTTCGCGCAAAATCAGTTTTCCACAATATCGATTTTGGTTTTTAGTTAACTCTAATACAAATGAATGTATATTGTATATACATGCAATCATCACTGGTTGTTTATATTTGCATTTTCTATACATGATAAAATTTTCAAAATATTAAGATTTGGTTTGAACTGTATAGGAACATTTTCATTTTCCATTTTATTTTAGTTTTTTTTTCTAAAATATCAATAAAATTATATTTGATGGTTAAAAAACGATGGTCTTCCTACAAGTTGCAAACATTTTCTGTTTCACTATTTTCATATTATATAGGTACTTATGTTTTACTTACTTCCATTAAAATAATATATACCATAGTATTGGTTTGTATCGTCAGCACCGAGGTTGGTGACGCTAGATGCAATTTATTTTTAATTAAATGACACTCATTTTCACCAATAACTATTATTATATTTGTATTTTTTTCACAAACATTTTATTATTATTATTTTTTTATTTATTTATTCTTCAAGAACATAATAGGTACCACTGAACATGATCGTCTGTGGCTATTAGTTCAAAACTTGGAATATAAATTCATAATATAAATAATACAACTAAACAATTAAAATACACATTTCTCATAAATTAAAATATCAATTTAAATAATTACCTATTACTTCATTGTTTGTATACATAAGTAGTATTATGTAAGACTCATGTAGTTTAATAATAAAGTATAAAGCAGTATAATTGTAAACTATCCTGTTAAGTTTTAGATTACACCACACTCTGAGGTAGGTACATACTTCAAAAGGTGCTAAGGACCGATCTCCACGTCTATCTATGCTCACCACATTAAATTATTATCTAATATATAAAAATGGAGACAAAAAATTCGAAATTGCATCAGTTGATAACGGCTGGGCCGATTTTGCTCAACTTTTTTTTAAGATGTTCGTAATTGCTAGGTGAAGGTTTTTACGAAAGAAAATTTTTAAAAAGTCAACCGAATAATCAGAAAAACTGCAAAAACTATTTATTGATGTATGGGATTTGAACTCGATACCGTTGTCTTTATTTACTCTATAGTGTATTATATTATATTGGTTGCTATTGGTTAATCGGGCATGTTTGTTGATTTGTATTATTATTTTTTGTAAATATATCTTATAAATAAATGAATGACCTATGGGAAGAAGATACGCTAATTTAAAAAGTGTTAAATTTGGTTTTTTTTATTCATCGGATTTTAGTACGGTTAGGTTAGGTTAGGATTTATAGGTAGGTGGAATTAAGTAAAAACGTCAAACTTGGTATAACTTTGGTACTTTTTGAGTTAAATCATACACTTACGTACAAACAGCACGGGGTCCGCGATCTACCGCAGGTAAATTACCTATCTGATAATGTACTGCTGCAATTCATCTAGCGAAACCACAGCCGCCTACTGTGAGTTTCGCGACCGTGGACGCACGGTATAGATCGCGTCCCCAGGTTGCGGATAGGGGCAAGCCCGGTTCCCTCGGTAGCTTCCGAGTCGGGTAGCCGGCGAATAACTAATAACCGGCCGTGGACAGCTTCGATTAAATGACCCGTAGTTCCGGACAGTATGTCCTCTGGGCCGGTTCACGGTCGCCGGTTGGGCCACCGACCCAGCCGGTGGTGCTCTTAATATGAGTTGAGAGCACGGGCGCCGGAGTTCGCTCCGTCCAGCAGCCGGGCGTCTCAGCGTAAGCCGGGTTCGGGCATGTCTCCGGGACACAGCGGTGAGTGTTGCGGGCTCGCGGCTGATGGCTCGTCTGCTTAGAGCTCCTAAGTCGGTAGGCGAGGGCGGTCGTCGCAAAATGTCCCACCTTTGACCGAAAGGTAGGGCTGTCGCCAGTTTGGGCAGGGCGCCACGGCTCGGTAGGCACCGAGTCGGGACGTTCGGCCAGACTGACCCAAAGAACGGGTCCTTGCTGGTGACGGTTCGAAAGGGTGGTGGCCGAGATTAAATTCGCACCTCGCGGACGCTCGTCCGCGGTTAAGGCAATACCAATGCCCGTTTTGCCGACAGAACTGGTAGAACCCGAGGGGGCGAAAGTCTGACTGAAGACGCTTCAGTACCACGGGAGTGAGTGGGGCCCCGTCGGCAACGACGCCGCTCACCGCGGGCGTCCAGTGATGGTTCACGCCCCTGGACGTCCGTTGCCGGTAGGAATCGTGGTGGCGGTTTTCTTACGAATACTTTGTGGTTAAGTCAATAGATGCTTATTCTAAGTTCTCGCTGACAGGCGAAAACCTCTGATGAACGGCCGTCACGACCCGGGGGCGCGAGTCACCGGTTCGTTGTCGGTTCCTCTCGGGCGTCTAGCCGCTATACCGGTGTAGTATCATCGGAGGTTGAGTGTAACCAGAAACACTCGGTGTGGGGATAGCACACAGCCAGACCAGGCGAATCTTCTTGGCCTGTCTTCATGGTACGGGACCTCGGTTCCGGTGCTCGTGGTCCGTAGACGACGCGCGGTCGACGGACTGGGCCACCGTACGCCGACCGTGAACCTCCGTGGCTCTCGACTAGCGCGTAGCGCTAATGTGAGGTCCGCGGTTGTAGCCGCAAGGCATCAAAATCGGGAGTCTTCGTGCTGCAATTCAGAATTTTTATTCCGGGCAACAGAAAAGTTAAGATAAATCTAGAACATCATACACCGAATATTAAATAACGCATTGAACAATGTTTGAGTCATATAGAGTTGGTACATTTAACGGGAAACGAAGTGCACGGAATCAGCTAGTTTATTATATAACGTTAAAACATTCAGAAGAAAATCAATACTATAAAAATTATTTTTGAAACAACTCACCTATTCATCACATAACAAATTAATAAGGTAGTTTTTAATCATTAGTTGTTCAAATGCTATAAGCGTAATACGATTTGAATTCAATTGTTTAACTACAAAATAATTACTCAATTATAAATTTGATAAATTTTGTCAAAATTCAATCTTTAAATGCTTATAAAAAAAATTGTGAATAAGTATTTTTCATATTTTTCAAATGATGTTGTTACAATATATCAGGAGCCTTGTATTAAATTTTTACACTTTTTGGAACAACAGATAAAAATTTATTGATATTCATAGAAAAAAAAACCAAAAAAATTGAAAACTGAAAATGTCTGTAAATAGCTCAAAAAGAGTAAAAATTTTTTCAAAATTGTATGGTGTACATTAAATGATAATATAAACATTCAGTGAAATTTTCATGTATCTACAGTTATTCGTTTTTGAATTACAACAAAATAAGGAAATAGCTAAACGAGAAATCGAGTGAATATCCAATGTTGTAAAAATTTGAATTTCAAATGCTCATAAAAATTTAATTTGACTTTCTATTGACTTTTTTTTTTTGATAAAGGTAGATAATCTTATAAGGAATCTTGTATCACATTTTAAAATCTTAGATTTAAAAAGAAAAATTTTTAAGAAATCTTAACTCAAAAGAATTTGCTAATTTTCGTGATTTTTCCATATTTTGTCAATTATTGGACTTTAAATGCTTATAAAAAAAAAACTGTGACTAAGGATTTTTAATATTTTTCATCTGCCTTTGAAACAACTAGAAGCCCTCTATTAAATTTTTAAGCTTTTTTAATAAACCAATACAATTTTATTGATATTTATAGAATTAAAAACTAAAAAAATTTTAAACTGAAAATGTCCCTAAACAGCTCAAAATAATTCAAATTATTTTTAAAAATTCACGGTGTATAGAAAATGCTAATATAAAAAGTCAGTAAAATGTCATGTATTTACGGTAATTTGTTTTAGTTTTACACTAAAACTACTTATAAAAGTAAAATTTTTCCAGTAGTTTTCAATAGCGCCGTGAAAAAAAAGAAAAATTAAAGAAAAACAGGAATTTTTACTCTACATCGATTTTACACAAAATTGATTTTGGTTTTTGTTGTTACTCTAAAACAAATGATCGTATATACATGAAAATTTTACTGGTTGTTTATATTTCCATTTTCTATGCATGATCAAATTTTCCAAATATTTTGAGCTCTATACAGATATTTTTAGATTCTTTTTATATAAATATCAATAAAATTGTATTTGATTTGTACAAAAGCTTAAAAATTTGATAAAATTCTCCTAATATATTGTTTCAAAGACAGATGAAACATATTAAAA